GCCACGACTGATTTTCTTGCAAAAGTTTTAAATAAGGTTCCAGCCCGGGCCGTCCTCGTTACCTGGGGAGGTGCTGTGTATTTCCTGTCCGGCGCTGCCCACATCCTGTGCAGGGACTCGAGGGAGGGCTCGGAGAGCTGGTGGGGTTTGCGGCCTGCCTGGCGGCCCCTCAGCTCCACATCCTCGTACGGGTTTTCCTTGGGTGACTCGCCTTCACGTTTTTGGGTTGGTTTGTGGGTTGGTTTGTTTTTTTTTTTTTTTTTTTTAAGAAAAGAAAAACAGACAGGAATGTAAAGTTAAAAAAAAAAGTAAAAATCATGTGAACCAAGTGAAAGGCTTTTAGAAAGGCTCCTCGGCTTTCAGCATGACTCATCCCTCTAGCTGCAGCTGGAAGTGTTTGGAGGAGAACTTGGCTATGAGGTCGACAAGTTTCTTTGGGTTTTTTTTTACTGCCTTTTTTTTTTTTTAAATAAAATGCAAAGATTTCACAAGACGTGCTTCTGAGCATCCACAGCTGTGGACAATTTATTGATATATAAAAGCTAAGGCACATTACTACTTTAAAGTGTATCAGTAGACTTTATAAACCTATAGCAGCCACTCACAGGGTGAAGTGAACAGCAATAAACAACTGCTCTCAACATACCACCCTTACACACAATAAGACAACTTTTATTTGATGCTACCTTCATTTTTTTCTTCCCCTGAGAGAAAGAAAAAAAGGATAAACACTGGAGCTCAGCAGTGCCAAGAGAGAGGATTGGAAAATGTAAAAGATAAGGGAAGAATTTCTGCCCCAACCATACTGCATCCTCCAAGTGTACTTTAAAATACATCGTGCCTTCTAATTAAGCAGCTATTCATTTCGGTTTAAGCCTGGAAGTGTGAGGCTCCTTGATTTATCAATTATAGTGATAAAAGCCTTTGCTTAGCAAGTTCACATATTCACAATACAAGTGAAAATACAGTTTTGCTGGAGTAGTGCATCATAGTAAGATTGCTAGTCAAACGTAAGCACAAGAGTAAATGTTTTAGTTTTGTTTTAATTAGAAGCCTGAATAACTGCTGCTCTTGAAGAATGTTTGAATTGGCAATCACAGCTTATTATTTCATCCAGAGGGATCCAATTCTAGAGGCTGCACTATCATCGTAGTCAATCTGCATGCCACATGGAAAGAATACCTTCAGGTGCATGGGGTACTGAGAACAAAGACATTTTGATAAATGCAATTCACAGAATAAATCTTAAGCAACAAATATTCCTGAAAAAATTTAAAGCTACAAATGTTCTGGGAGGATTATGGAATTGACTGATTCCTCCTTCTGGAGGAAGCAAAACAAATAGCTATTGCACACTAATTCCGTTACTCATAAACTCTAGAGCTCTAGATATGATAATCATAACAACAATAAATAGCCAACTTTGCAAAATGCTGTTGCTTATTCACAGCTAATTGGACTGTATTAGCATAATAAAATTTCTTGTAAGCCCAAGTCAAGTATAGGTCAAGCAAGTATTTTAGAATGGATTAACAGATTTCACAATAACCAGCTACGTTAGACACTGCTTAAACATATGCTTCCTTGTGAAAACAAATGTTATTACATTAGTCTGCGTAGTATCCAAACTCCTGAGGAGAAACAAGCCCATCAGTTGAAAAGAAACCTTTTTTAAAATGTAAAGCATTTAAAAGTTTTAGGGTGATTCTCTTTCCAAGACACAATGTAAACCAGAATTGCTTGAACTCAGTTAAACTCAACATTACTAATGTTGACCTAAAATATTAAGTATAGAAACAGCCCCAGAGAAGTCTTGGATGAGAGGAGAGGGAGGAGCAAGGACCCACGAGCAGAGGCTGCTTTTCTGACTCAGATTCTCTACCAAAAGAAAGCTCGGCCAAATTCCTCTTCAGTGTAATGTGGAGGTCAGTGGAGACACCACAAGGATTTAACCCTTTCCCAGGAGCTTCTTCAGATGTCTGGCTTGCTGTTCTAAAATGCTTGTTTCTTTTATTTTTCTCATTTGCTTAAAAATATTTTTTTTTTCATTTTGAAATAATGCCTTGAGACCAAATATGCCTCACCTATTTTTTTTTTTAAGAATAAACTTCCCCACCAAGTCTCTGAATCTCTGATAATTAAATAGTCTGATCAACATGAAACAAACTGGTTTTGCTGAGTTGGCATTTGAACCCAGTTTTTGGTTCAGCCAGTGAACTAAAAGAGACAATTTATTTGTCTAGGTCTTCAGTAATTTTCAAACCTTAGACAACCACCATTTTTAGTGTATATACTCTCCCTGGTGGATGAGACCAAAAGACCAGATATGCAAACAGAGCACTAGGCAGCCCAGACAGATTGGTTTCTGGGTGCCAAGAGTAGGAAGGACAAGAGACAAGAAACTCAAGATGGCAAGCAAGCTGAAAAGATGTGTGAGGGTATGCAGAGCTGGCTTAGATCAGCATTTAACTGTGTCACTCTGCACTTCGACTCCCTTCTGTGCGAGAAGGACCTGGGAACTGATGGCCACCAGCAGATGCTGGTCCCATACTGCAGGGAGGCTCTGGGGAAGGGCTGCAGGGGTGGCTACTACAGCTGCTGTAGTACAAAAATGAAGAAAGCTCCCATATAGCTGGGCTGGTTCAGAGGTTTGCAGCTTTGATCTCTGCATTTCTCTTCAACACCATCAATTCTCTAGTCCCAAGACCCAGGCAAGGAATGTTCCCAATCTGCAAGCTGCAGTGCTTTTGCATTCATTTGGATGTGCTGCAGAAGGAAAACACATTTACAATGAAAGAGCAAGGAAACATCCTTGTTCCTTCCATATGGATGTCTCTATTGGAAACCAAAAGGAGAAACTTCATGCAGTATAGAGCCCAGGCTTGTCTGTCTTAATGAGGCTGATCCAGCTGCCACACAAGACAACAGCAGACTATCACTGACTTCAAAGGAAGCTGAATCAGACCCCCAGAATGCATACGGTCACGTGAAATAGCAAGTCTTTGGCACATACTGTCTAATCACCATCCCTGCTTCCAGATCAGTTCCCTTTATACGCATTTTTTCCAAGTTTCCCATTCTCTTGAATTCTATGTACTAAACTGCTGAGTTAACCCAGGACATTTATCTGTACGACATTTATCTTCAGAAGATCTCACACGCAATTTAATGATTAGTCCATAGGGGGGAAAAAAAAAAAAAGATAAAACAGCCCAGTGATCTTTAGAAAACTCCTGAGGAATGCAGTGCCTTGAGCTTAGGCATCAGTGAGTTTCCTCCAGCGGCTGCAATTCCTCACTCCGTGATGCTCTGCGAGTCAGCCCCACCGGGTCCGGAGGCAGCACACAGCATCCTCTGCTCAGCCCCTCACACGTGGCAGATGGGAAGCAGAGGCAGACTCAGCAAGTCTGTCTCATGCTGAGAAAGGAGTGAAAAGTAAGTCTAAGGGGAAAAAAAAAAAAAGGCAGGCAGACACTTCTCTATAAATGGCAGAAAACAGGGAAATGAATCTTTTCTGTCTAGATGGGAGAAATAATTATCACAGGAACAAAGTGATTCACTGAGCGCTGATTAGAAATCCTGCCTTTTACACTGCCAGGGAAGCAAGAAGAATCAAACCACAGGTATACAATAAGGGAAAGGGCTCATCAGCTGGTGTTAACTTGGGTGCCTAAATTAGGGGCCAGTGCTCACAGACCCTCTCCAGAGGGTGATGCTGCATGCCCAGGCTAGGAGCCTGCCACCTTCCCTGCTGGCCAGAGAGCCCAGGCCCCTAAGCTGAATGGCCAACAGAGATAGCAGCTCACAAATGACAAAGGGTGTATTTCCTACACACTAGAGCATGTGCACAAAATATAGGGCAATTAATGTCTTTTACCATGAACTGGGAGATGCAGGCTTGAGCTGCCATCCCAGGAGAGACTTGGGAAAAAGCAGCATATACCTCCAGAGGCAAGGAGCTGGAAATAGCGGCAATAAAGAGGCAGGAAAAGAGGCCCAGACAGGCAGAGTCAGGACTGAATAGCAGACAAGTAGAAATACCCAAGTGAGCAGACTGTGAGAAGCTCTGACACTGGTGGCACCTATCCCCTGAACATATTGCAGTGTTTCTGTAACATACACAAGGCACATCATCAGCTCCATTCCACACATAATCCCACTGATGGCACCTACAAGTTCTTGAACCACCTTTTTTTGCCCTCTGCCTGTGAGCTCTGTTCAGTTGTAGATATAGCCCAATCCATCCATCTCGCGCACACGTGGGGCACACAGGCACTTGCAGAGGATTAAGATACAATACAGCTGGGCAAGGGAGAAGCAAGCAGAGGAGGGTGGTTGGGGAATTCTGCTTTTGCTGCTGTTGAAGAGGAAAAAATCGGAATTAATTTCGAAGTGCAAGCACTGCAGGAGGGAACAGCGTGGGATTCATGTGCTGTGCAAACTTACAGCTCCTCAGCATCTCTGGGCACTTAAATCCAAAGAACTGCTCAATGCTGAGAATCCAGGTATGTTGTGTGTACGCATTACTCATTCATTTAATTCATAAAATTACACAAACACAGATTCACACCACCAGTGCTGGAGGAAAACTCAGCCATGGGATGTTTATGAGGCTGGATGAGGCTTTGAGCAACCTGGTCTAGTGGAGGGTGTCCCTGCCCATGGCAGGGGGGTTGGAACTTTATGATCTTTAAGGTCCTTTCCAACCCAAACCATTCTATGATTCTGTGTTCGGATCCAATGGATGAAAACCACAGAATCTCCAGACTCTTATAAAGTATCTGAACTTAGATCTTCAGTACAGATGAGATCTTTCAACATCAGAGAAAATGCAACTGTGCATCTCAGCACAGTTACCCCAGAAATCTCTAGAAAGAGGAACTATTTCAATATCAAGTTACAGCTTAGATACATCATAGCTGCTTTGAAAAGCTACTGCTAAACAGTACAAAGTTATAGACCATTACTTGCTTATAAACCTACCACCCAGTGTATCAGCTCACTACCATGTCCTCAGAAAAGTAGTATAGCATCTGCAACATGCAGAGTGACAGGTCTAAAATGTGGTCAGCCTTTTGAGCCCTGGTCTGTGGAGTTTGTGGGCAACAGCCTGTGCTTCTTGAAATTCTCCCGTTTTGCTTTGCCTTGCAATGAGCGGAAGAAACACTGCAGATACTTCCAGCTCCCTGCCATCTCTGCAGGGACTGCAAG